CATGCAATTAAGATGCATTAATAATTCCTGGTGATAGGAATATGGAATTTAGAAACAAACAGGAAAGATCTGCAATTGAAAAAAAAAAGGCCTTGATGATAGAAATAATGCTGGAGATCACAAGATAGAATTTTGGGAGAGCATGACTTATTCATTGCAAAAAAAACCCCTTTTTTTCAACAACATCAAAGATAACTATACTCATGAATCTCACCAGATTAAACACACAGAAATCAAACTGACTATACCTGTGAGATGAAATGATGGAGGCGCTCCATAGCATCAGCCAAAACAAGACTAGGGCCCAACTGTGGAACAGGCCATCAATTGCTTACATGAAAATTCAGGTTGAAACCAAATAAAATTAAAACAAGCCCACAGAACCAAAATATGAACCTCATTATGTCACACCCGAATTTATAGACCATCTCAAGAACAGATTTGGTGCATTAGACACTAATGACCGAGAGCCGGTAGAGCTTTGGAATGACACCAAGTAAAGCAAAAGATCATTAAAAAGATAAGAAAGAAAAGACAAAAATGCATATCAATACATTACTATGTGAAAGACATACTAAGAAAAGACGAAAATGTATGTTAAGACAATAGTTTGTCAGAAGAGACTCTGAAAATTGTTCTTGAATATAGAGAAGTTGAAGGTACTGGAATAAATGAAGACATAAAAGAGCTAAGTGGAAAAATTTTAAGAGCAGTATAGGGTTTTTAAAGACAAAGTCAAGTATTATAATGAAATGTGCTAAAACCTGGAGTTTAAAAAACAAATGGGGAAAAAAACACACACTCAGCATTTCTCAAGCTAGAAGAACTGGATTAAAACTTCAAGTTTTGACTTACAATATTTAAGAATTCAATGGCAAAATATTGATTGTTTCAGGAAGCATCCAAAGAAGATGAAAAGAATGCACAGTCATGGTGCCACAAAAATTAGTTGATGATCAACCATTTCAAGAGGTAGTAGATGATTCAGAGCTGATGGTACTGAAGGAAGAAGTCCAAGTCTTCCTTAAAGACGCAGGCAAAGAAACAAGGCTCTAGGAACTGACAGAATAAAAGTTGAAGTCTTTCAACACACTGATGCAGTGAAGAGGTACTCACTTGTCTACGCCAAGAAATATAGAAGACAGACACCTGGCCGACTTAGTGTAAGGTACCCATATTTGTGTCTATTTTCAAAGGCATGAGGAAAACATCAGACAATATCGTTAATATCACATGCAAGTAAAATTTTGCTGAAGATAACTTAAAAATGGGAGTTGCCAGAAATTCAAGTCAGATTCAAGTGAGGATGTGGAACAAGAGATGCCATTGCTGATGTCAGATGGATCTTTGCTAAAAGCAGAGAGCACCAAAAAGGTGTTTACTTGTACCTTATTTACTATTCAAAGGTATTTAACAATGTAGATCATTATAAACTATGGATAACATTGTGAAGAATGGGTATTCTTAACTGTTGCTCATAAGAAGCCTGCACAGAGACCAAGAGGTAGTTGTTCTAACAAAACAAGGTGATATTGAATGATTTAAAATCAGAAAAGGGTTGTATGCTTTCGCCAAATTCATTCAATCTTTATGGTGAGCAAATAATCTGAGAAATTGTATTATATTAAGAAGAAAGTGGCATCAGAATTAAAGATAGACTCATTAACAATCTGAGATAGCCACATGACAAAATCTTTCTTGCTGAGAACAAAGAGGAGTTAAAATACTTGCTGAGGAAGGTCAAAGACTAGTGCTTACAGTATGAATTGCACCTAAGTGTAAAGAAAACAAAAATCCTCACAACTGGATCAATAAATGACATCATGATAAATGGAGAAAAGACTAAAGTTCAAACAATCTCATTTTGTTTGAATCTTTCAACACTCAGGAAAGCAGCAGTCAAGAAATCAAACTACACATTGTATTAGTCAAATCTGCTAAAAAAAAAAAAAAAACCTCCTTAAAGTGTTCAAGAGCAAAGATTCAGTTTGAGTACCAGGTGCGCCTGACCCTAGATATGATATTTTCAGTTGCCTCTTGCACTTGTGAAAGTTGGCTAATGATTACAGAAGACTGTAGAAGAATCAATTCATTTGAGTTATGGTGTTGGTGGAGAATATTAAAAGTGCCATGTACTGCCAGGAGAACAAACAAATCTGTCTTGGAAGAAGTACAGTCAGAATGTTCCTTAGAAACAGAGGTGGCGAGACTATGTCTCTTGTTCTTTGCATATGGTGTCGGCAGGGATCAGTACCTAGAGAAGGACATCATGCTTGGCAAAGTGGAGGGTCAGCAAAAAAGAGGAAGACCCCCAACTTGATGGATTAGCACAGTGGCAGTAATGTTGGGCTCAAACATAACAACAATGTTGAGGACAGAGCAGGAACTTCCAATTTTATTCTGTTCTGCAAGGTTCACTATGAGTCAGAACTGACTCCAAGGCACCTACCTAACAGCAACAAGTCAAGTATTAATAATCATGACAAATGTATTCGGACTTTTGCGTTATTACTTGTATCTAGTTGTAATATGAATTTCCCATTTCCATCATCCAGTTAGCCACGATTCCAAATAGGAATTTCAATTGCTTGCTTGCATTTTTACTAACTGATTTCTCAGTGTGAGACCCTATTCCTTAATGTGTGATCCTGCTTGCTGTTTCATTCTTTATTATTTAAAATTCATTATACTTATCTCATGGGTCTTTGATAATGTTTTCCTCAATTTTCATTTGAAATATTCACACCATAAATAATTCCAAAACTTGACATTTTTGTTTAATTCTAAACCTCATGGGTATAAAATCATGTGAGTAGAATTAGACGGAAAAATCTGTTGAAATCTATCAAAATGATATTACTTTGTTTCTTAAACTTCTGCTGCTGTATTTATGTAAGCCTGGGGCCTAATAATAAATACTTTTCACTTAGAGATGAAATTAGTACTCATGGAACATTTGCCACCGGCAAAAAGCAAAAAACAAACCCCCCAAATAAAAATAACAAAACCCAGCAACTCAGCAAAACAAATAAAAACCTCTTCACCATTCTTTCTTATCTGCCTTACCAAACTAATTTTATAAAAAATAAACTTTCATACCTGTAATTAATTTTAAATGAGCAAATTAAATGTAATTTAAGTAAAATTTAAACCCATCATACCTCCAAGCATCTTTCTCTCTCAAGTTAATCTTACCCAGTATCAGGATGAACAGTTATGCTATGTGTTTGGGTATTCAGTGACCTTATAGTGACTTTGTACGAAGTTTTGTCTCAACCTTAATTCCCAGTCCTGCCGCAAGGCCTGAGCTCATTTTTCCCCCACAAATGTTGAAGCTGGTTAGTTATTCCTATTTACCTGACCCCACCGTCAGGTGAATTCTCTTTAATATATTTTGAATAGCAATGAGCCTTGCTGTGGTATAAAAAGGTTGTGTTTCACCTTTTGGTCAACAGAAAGCATATGATGCAATAAAAAAACTTCAAAATTAGTCTCTGATTCTAGAAAATTATTTTTTGAACTAAATACTGCTAAAATATAAAACAAATTTATTCAGAGGCAAATTTAAGTGGATGTTGTTGTTGTTGTTAAGTGCCATTAAGTCGGTTCTGACACATAGTGACCCGGCATTGGGCTTCCTAGGAGTGACTAGTGAGCTTGAACTACCGACCTTGTGGTTCAAACCGACTTTGTAGTCTAGTGCATTAGCCCACAGCGCTACACCAGGACTCCCCAGAGTTGTTAAGTGCCATCCAGTCAGTTCCTACCCATAGCGATCCTGTATAGGATTTCCAAGGAGTGACTGGTGAGCTTGAACTGCCTACTTTGCAGTTCAAGCGGCTTTACAGTCTGGTGCGTAATCCACAGAGCCACACCAGGACTCTCAAAACAAGAGCTGTTTGTTTTTGTTGTTGTGAAGTGCCGTCGAGTCGGTTCCGACCCATAGCGACTCTGTATATACAGTTTCCGAGGAGCAGCTGGTGAGCTTGAACCACCGATCTTGTAGTTCAAATGGCTTTGCAGTCTGGCACATTAGCCCACAGTGCCACACCAGAACCACCCCCAAACACAGTAGAACCCCGTAAAAGAAAATCAGGCCTTAGCACTACCTTACTCTATCGTTGTTAAGTGCTGTCTAGTTGGTTCCGACCTATAGTGATCCTGTATAGGGTTTCCGAGGAGCAGCTGGTGAGCTTGAACCACTGATGTTGCAGTTCAAACTGACCTTGCAGTCCAGCACATTAACCCGCAGCACCACACCAGGACTCCTATAGCCTTATTCTATATTGTTTTTAATTTTACAATAATTCTATAAATATAATTGTAATAATAATAGAAAGTGAGCATGAAAGAATATTATTAACTTAATACACTGTTTCCATTTCTTTACCTTCTCTTCTAACATAGCCCATACTCATAGCTTTATAAAACTATGAAAGGTACAGCTAGCTTTCCTACTTTTTCACCTTTTATTATATCATAAGTATGATTGCCATGCTATTTTTATCTTCATAATTAACAACTTTCAAGGAATATATTATTGATTATTGCTACTGGATTATTCGGTTGTTTCCAATATTTTGATGGTACAAATTACAATGAATCTTTTTTTGCCTTAAGCTTTTTCATTATCATGACTAGATGTCCATAAACGTAATTGCAGTATTAAACATAAGTATATGAATATATGAAAATTTTTAATGCACTGCTATTTCTAGGAGAGTGCTTAAAATCCATACCTCATATAGTTTTAATATAGTATGGCAAATGAAACTCCCCTTAGATTATGAACCTTAGTTGCTGGAGAGCACCCTGTTTCAGCCTTCTTTAACTTTTATAAATCTGACCAATTTGGAGAAATTTTATGGTGGTCTAAAAGCTGCTCCCTTGGATGATGCTGTTTACTTAGCTGTCACCTGACTTAGCTGTCATCTGACTGACTTAGCTGTATTAGACCTATGATTTGCCATCACAGATGTGCCTATGTGACTATCATTTACCTGAATTCCCTTGAGAGATGAAGCGCCCATATAGAGGAAGACTCCATAGAGCACTGGCATGGGAATAAACTGTGAAAGAACAATGAGAGGAAAGACACCAATTATTTTCATATAGAATGTTATCATGTAAGTTTGCACTTACCAAAATTAAAATAGAAACCAAAATTATATATTTCAGTAATAGAGCAGACTCCAAGTTATGAGTTCAAATCCCAACTCTAGCATTTTTAGATGTGTAAACAGGTAAATTTAACTCAATGTAACTTAGCTTCCTAATCTCTAAAAATGTATAATAATGATAATAAGGTTGTTATGAGTAATAACTAGGTTTTAAAAACCACTGGCTATATAATAAATTATAAACATTAATTATTATCAATATTACTAGACCAATTTAAAGACAATTTGAGCTTTGTTTCAAATTAGAAAGCTATTTGGATTGAAGGTTAAAATGAAGCTAGCATTTAGATGTTTTCCATACATGATGCCAGATATTTGTAAACATGCAGATTATTGAATTCTTCTCTTTCTAGTGGAATAGCTATCATCCTATTTCTATTAGAAAATTATTTATTCAATATAAAGATTGAATCTTGAAATGTACTTCTGACCAGTTTACTTTGTTTTCAAATTATAGACAGCCAAAATAAATTGTTTAAAATGTAATTTCTGCACCTTGAAAAGATCTTCCAAAATCACATGATAAAATGATTACTCTTTAATATTCTTCAAAATTAGTTCATTGATTTTCAGTGTGGAAATGGTAAGTGTATGCATCGACATTGTCCTTGTACACTGCCCGTGTGACCAGGGAGCTGACTGGTCTCATCTCTGACCCACTATCTTATACTGAATAACAGCAATTCCAAATATGTCTGCTCACTAACAAGAAAATAGAAACTTTACTTTATGTAAGTCTGCAGTGAATTCAGATCACAAGTCTGTCAAAAATACTGAATGACTTTTTCCCATAGCTTGATCACAAATTCAAAATTATGCTATTTACACATCTTAATTTGGCTTCATCAGCCTAAATTTATATATATGTGTGTGGGATGTTAAAATACAGGACACGCTTCCTGGTAGCACAGTGGTTAAGTGCTCAGCTGCTAACCAAAGGGTAGGCAATTTGAACGTAACAGCCACTTCACAGAAGAAAGATGTGGCAGTGGGCTTCCATCAAGATTACAGCCTTGGAAACCAAACCCATGGGGCAATTCTACTCTGTCCCTTGAGGTTGCTATGAGGCATAGTTGACTTGACAGTTGTGGGGTTTGGTTTGGGAACGTTAAAAATAATTATATAAACATAGTTTTTAAAAACCATCATGTAGTACATAATGTTTCCAAATGTATTACTTAGATTCCAAGGAAATGCCATAAACAATGATAAATATATTCTATCTTCTCTCAAGCTCAAAAAGGCAAATTTCATTACCTTTAGAATACTGGTCATAAAAACTGATGAACCCATAAGAACAAAAATCATCAGTCCAGTAACTCTTTGCTCCCGAATGCCAAGAAACTTGGGTTGTTCCCCTGGAGCTGAGCATTCGGATTCCAGCTTTAGGCTGTTAACATGAGTGATGGAGAGGACAGTGGCAGCCACAAACCACGGCAAGCCCATGATGGAGCACACCCCAAGCATGACAGCCACCATGAATAGATCCAGATGATACCCACAGCCTTTCTGTTGAAAGAGAAAGAAAGAAAAGAGTTTTCTTAGAGGTCCTAAAGTTAGCATAAAGGCAAATCACACCACCACCACGGAGCAGTAAGAATAGAAAGGAGACCTTCCCCAATTCACAGTAAAAAGTTAAAAAAGACAAACGCCTAGGAAAGAGATATCATCTTACACAGCTAGTTCTCAAATAAAATATAAAGACACAAAGGTTGTTGTTAAGTGCCGCTGAGTCGATCCCGAGCCATAGCGACCCTGTATAGGATTTCCAAGGAGTAATACTCTCAAAAATATATAAACTCTTTAAAGAAAAGTTGACAGATGTTATTATTGCAGTTATATTATGTTGCTATGAAGTGCCGTCGAATCGGTTCCAACTCATACTGATCCTGTATAGGGTTTCCAAAGAGCGGCTGGTGAGCTTGAACTGCCGACCTTGTGGATCAAACCAACCTTGCAGTCCAACGCATTAAGCCACAGCGCCACACCAGAACTCTAGTTATATTTTGTTGTTGTTGTTGTTGTCATGTGCCATGGAGTCGGTTCCGACTCATAACGACCCTGTATACGGTTTCCGAGGCTATAAATCTTTACCTGAGTAGAAAGTCTCATCTTTCTCCCGCGAACAGCTGGTAGTTTCGAACTGCTGACCCTGAGGTTAGCAGCCCGATTCATAACCACTATGCTACCAATTGTTGTTGTTGAGGGCTGTCAAGTTGGTGCCAACTCATAGCGACCCTGTATAGGGTTTCCAGGGAGTGACTGGTGAGTTTGAACCACTGACCTTGTGTTCAAAGTGACCTTTCAGTCCAGTGCTTTATCCGACAGCACCACATCAGAACTACTAAATACTTGAGGAGTGCAATGGCTCTGTAGGATAAGCGATTAAGAATAAGGTCAGTGGCTCAAGCCCGCTAGCAGTTTTCTGGGAGAAAAATGAGATTTTCTAATCCCACAAAGATTTATAGCCTCGGAAACTCTACACAGGAACTGACTTGATGGCACTGAACAACAAGTTTAATAAATTTAATGCATTTATCAGTTAGTAGCACTTGTTTTCATTTTATTTCCATTAGAGATGTAAAATCATCATTAAATATGAGGGGACTTCAAAAAGTTTGTGGAAAAATTCCATTATCGTATAATGCCATTTTCCCATGAACTTTCTGAAGCTCCCACTTGCCATACTTTCTTTAAATGGGCAACACAATTCACAGCATTCATTCATAAATTCTTTAAAAAATATAGTGTTTAAAAACATGACTCAAATGTAACAAGTGGGATCCTAAATTGCAGGAAGTAGACAAAATAATGTTTTCAGAGATAATAGTTCCCTTTCTAAAGATAGAAAGCTAATTTTGAAAAGTACAAATATATAATAAAAAAACAAAAAAGATCATTTCCCTCTGATTGTGTTGTGCAACAATAGAGCATCTTGATTCCATGCAAATCAAAGAAAATAATGCCATTCTGGCAATTCCACTAATTAATCAGCATCCTTCCTCTTGCCTTTCATTGAAATGTCTTTAAAAACTTGGACTTTGTAACCAAATTAGTAGCTGATACGCATGCCAGCCAAAGGGAAGTATCCCTTTGTCAGAGAGAGAACTCTGCACCTTCTAACATATTTTTGTAGATTTTTTTTTCTCAAATAGAGACAGAACCAGAGTTTTTATTCTCACATTCATCCATGAATCACGGGAAATGGACATATGGGAAGAAAAGGGAGCATAGCAACAGGTGATACTACAGCAGACCCCACTAAAACCAACATGCAGCAAGACAAGAGGCCAGCCAAGAGGACCATCTGATACCCAGATGCCACTGCTGAAAAAATTCATTTCAGAGCTTGGCAGCAATTTCCTGCATCTGTCAAGTTAACCACATAAAAGACTATAGATTGACATGAAGAACCAGGCTGACAAAGAGGGCAAAAAAGAACATATCAAATGCCATAATCATCAAGAGAATGTGGTGCCAAATGAATGTTGCAAATGCATTCATTTACTCAAGTGATCTGAGATTGTATTGCTGTTTATTAAAAATGATGTCAAAAGAAGCCTGAACTGTCTACAGAAACATGTAGAAAAACCCATAGCTGTATTTTAACAGAAGCTTGTTTTTTCTAGAAAAATATCTCTCTTTCTTTTCACTCTTAGAAGTTGTGCTTTAAAAGGAAAACAAATATATACTTTTAATGTTCTTCAAAGAATTCAGTTAGTCTGTACTTAACCCTACTTCTCTAGTGAAGAACTAAAAAATGGAAAAGTAAAGGGTCATAAAAAAGAGGAAGCCCCTCAACAGGATGGATTGACTCAGTGGCAGCAATAATGGGCCCAGACAGGAATGACTGTGAGGACAGCTCAGGATCGTGCACAGTTTCGTTCTGTTGTACACAGGCTTGCTATGGGTTGAAAACAACTCAAGGATGCCTAACAATAACAGAGAGAAAATGAATGTATATCATCTCTACTTACATATGGTAAATATGACACTTGAGTCTGGTGAGGCACTTGAGTATAAGCACTGGTCTGTTAACTCCAAGGCAGTAGTTCAAACTCACTCCTAGGAAACCCTACTTCAGAACTGACTTGAAGGTATTTCTCAACAACATGCGATACGTGCCATTCTTAAATCACTCAATTTATAGCTTTTATCATTCTTGAGCAATCCAAAGGTCATGATATGCAGTAAGTTTTATTTTGGGTTCTTTCATTCTGAGGCTGGGTTGTAGAAATGTCACATAGCCAGTGAGTTGGCCCTCGCCTCTGCAACTCAGCAAGATTAATTGTGTACGTAGTAACACTCATGAAGTGACAAAATATTTTTATTGGCATGGAACTCATTTCCTAAAATAAAACCAACTACTAGTTCTGGTAATTCAAAGTGGCCTCAAAAATTTAATGGAATTAAAAGATAGTATTTTTCTACAAACTTTTTCAAGTCTCCTCATATTGTTGTTCTTGTTAGTTGCCATGGAGTACACTTCACTCATAGCAACTCAACAGGGAGGTGAAGAAGAAATGAAAGATCTGAGAAAATAATGAAATGGGGCATTCTGAGATGGCTGGGATAAGTGATGTGGGCTTCCATGCAATATGTGGAGTTAACCAGGTGTATGGTAATGAAACCATAAAATATTATTCATCAAACTATTTGGGGGAACGCTCTAAGACAACAATAGTTTTCAAGTAAGGAAACAATTCATTACAGCTGAAAGTGTGGTTACCTGTGTTTTAGGTTTATGCTCAACAAACATAGGTATTATAGTGAAAATGTGATTCAAGTTAAAGCCAGGAGACTTGATAAACATTTCAGTGAAGCAACAGGAACAAATGGAATAATCCATTACATATGGATATGCTGAGTACAGCATATTCTGAGAAAGCAATTTTTTCAGTTGTTGTTGCAGTGAGCAGGAAAGCCAATAACCATGCTATACTGAAGCTTACAAAAGAAATGGATTATGAATAGTGTCTGGTGTGGCATGGGAGGATGCGTGGTTGACCACAAAGTTCATTTGAACAGCAGGGTTGGCGATTCAAACTCACCAGCTGCTCCTGTGAACCCTATACACACTATGGGTTGGAACCACTGACATGATGGCACTTAAAAACTTAACAACAACTTGTGCTTACTTGTTAATCTGTATTGAACAATTTCACTTTTTTTTTAACCACATCAAAGATTCTGCTTCTAGGTATGGTTGCAATCTTTCTTCTAATCCAACAGCACTTTCCTACAGAATCAAAACCTCTTTTCAAAACTGCCATCCCTGACAGGGACAGAGTACCTACGAAGCAAGGTAAGCACAGTTTTTACTTGTACTTATTAATCTGTAGCGAAGAACACTTTCACATGTTTTTCAGTACAGATTAGTAAGTAAACCCAAATAAACTGCGCTTGCATCACTTATTGTAATCTGATCATGGTTGTAGGCCAAAAATATTTGTTCAGTGTAGATAAAATATGACTTTACTGCAAGGAACTTACTTTGAAATTACACAAATGCAAGGAAGAGGGCACAATGTTAAGAACAGACCAAGAACAGGGGCCTTTTCTATTTTGTGACATGCAAGGGGACGTCACAGAGTTTGCAGAAAAAATGAAATGAAATGATAATGGGACAGATGAGTTTTCTATTCAACCATTCACACACATTTTGTTTCATTGATTGCATACCCCACAATGAACCATCACATACCCCACTTAGCTTCTGTGTTTCCTGTTTCCAATTCTACTTCTTTCCTAAACTTTCTGCACTCTGTCTTTGGGTACTTGCTGCTTTTTTGATCTCACACGGATGGTTATTCTAAGGTGTGCATACCTCCCACAGAGACCTGTATATTGTTTGACTGAAAATTGAGCCACATCATTTCTAGACTTGAAGGGTGACTAATGGCCACAGTCTCAGGGAGTTTCACCAAAAAGCCTGGTCTTTTTTATGATTTTGCGTTTTGTTCTACATTTTCTCCAACTCTATCCAGAACCTTCTAATATGATCCCTTTCAGAGAATTTGACAGTCGTAGCTTGGCACCATTTAGTTTTTCTAGCTTCAGGGTTGTGAAGACTGATGTTTGTGTGTTCCATTAATCTATTGGACTGATTTGTTTGGTAAGCCATCACCCAATTTACAACAAAAAGTTAAAATTTTAAAAAAAAAAAAAAATTTCCACAAACTTTTAAAAGCCCCCTCATATATTTGAGTTTGTGATTAATTCAAGACTCAGTACGTTAACATGCTTAGGCGCTAACCAAAAGATTGGAGGTTCGAGTCTATCTAGTGTAGGCCTCGAGATTACTTACTTCTGAAAAATCAGTCATTGAAAACCCTATGGATTATAGTTCTATTCTGACACACATGGGTCACCAGGGGTGGATTATCCAGTAAGCAAGGTAAGCATGGGTTTACCTGTATTTACTTGCTAATCTGCAGTGAACAATTTCACCTGCAAGGGAACAATTTCACATGTGAAACTGTTCACTACAGATTAGTAAATAAGTACAAGTAAATCCGTGATCACTTTGCTTGAGTGTCCCTGTCAGGCATTATATTTGAAAAGGCTTTGATCTTTTGTAGCAAGACACTGGTGGAAGCATCATCGTTTATGTGGTTAAAAAATAAAAGTGAAATTGTTCACTACAGGTGAATATGTAAGCCTGTTTTTATTTTTCTTATTCGGTAATAGGAGACTGGAGGATCAGCATGAGTCAGAGTCAACTTGAAAGTAGCTAATGTTGGGGTTGCAACTAATTAAGTCATTAAGTCATATTTACTCTATTGTTTACTAAACCTCAGGGAGTTAAGAGACAAACTTGAGACTACATAATAATTTATTTGTATAATATAAAGGTTATGTCCTGGTGTGGTGCTGTAGGATAAAGCACTGGACTACAAGATCGGTTTGAACTGCATGGTCGGTGGTTCAAACCCATCAGTCACTTCTTGGAAACCCTGCACAGGGTTGCTATTAGTCAGAACCAACTTGAGGGCACATAACAAAAACAACAATGTAGTGTCAAGTTATTGTTTTATTGTAAATACACATTTCCCAGTTCAGTATTCAAGTTATTTTCAGTAACAAAAATAGCAAATGGTTTATGGCACTGTAGGATAAGCACAACTCTGAATCCAATGTCAGTGGTTCAAACCCCCCAGCTGCTCCTCAGAAACTCTATATAGGGTTGCTATGAGTCAGAACTGATGGGATGGCACTTATGAACAACAACAGGTACTCAAAAGGACCACTTAAAGAATGTTCTACTATATCTTAGTATTTCTGTACTGTACATAAAGGAGGAAATAGAGTAAATTTCCAAATCTGTCCTTTGAAAGAGCTAAAAATGTCAATGGCCTACTGTAGATTCATGAAGAGCAAGGAGCAAGTGCTGTGTGATTTATAAAGTTGAAAGACCTGGATAGAGCAAGAAGACAGAATGGACAAAAATGTAATAATATCAGTATCAGTAAACCTTCATTTACTTACAGATTAATATGATTCCATTACTAGTGAGAAAATATACTGCCTGAGTCAGCTTAACTAATAGCTTTTACACAAACTAATGTTTTAGACAACCAGTAGGATTTCTGCTTAATTTACAGTCTAAGAAAAA